TTTCATCTCTCCTTCAAGAAGAATCACTTCTTTTTTTCTGTTTGTTTTTTCGCCCAAGTTTCCCTCCCAAGACGGTGCTTATTCTACCTTCACGTGAGCTCAGGCTGGCCACATAAAACCTCTTATTACTGGGGTTGATGGGGGCGCGGGAGTGAGAGAGGAGGGGGGAGGGGTGGGGTGGGTTCTGTGCCCCTATGCCGCGCTGTTTTTTTATTTATTTATTTATTCATTTGTTTATTTATTTATTTTTTTTTTGAGGGGTCTGTTTTTTTATTGATTTTTTTCTCGTTTTTGAGGGGGAGAGGGAGGGTTTTTTGTATGTTATTTTGTCTTTTTTTTTGCTTGTTTTGTCGGTTGTGATTTGGTATTATTATTGTTGTTTTTTCAAAATTGTTTTTGTATCCTTTTCTCTATCTCCTTTCTTCGCACACACACATACACATACACATATACACACATACACACACACACACTCACACACACAAACCTAAAAAATACCCCCCCCCTCGAAAAACAACTCACATTCCCTATAAACCAATTCTAAAGAGCCTAAAATCAGTCAAATAAAACCCCCAAAATTCCTAGATAAATCCTAAAGTACCTCAAAATCAGCCCTAAAAATGACCAATAAAAAGCCCCAAAAAACTAAAAAAAAAGAAAAAAAAATCCTAGATAAATCCTGAAATGCCTCAAAATCAGCCCTAAAAAGAGCCAACAAAAATCCCCCAAAATAACCTTAAAAAAGGGGAAATTCCCTAAAAAAGCCCCCCCAAAAAGCCTGAAGCAGAGACCAAGCCGGAAAGCCTCCCTGAGCAGCAGAAGGCGCCGCGGAAGGGTACTCGAGGCGCCGGCTGGAGTGGGGCTGCGGTCGTGGCGGGGGGGGGGGTCGTTTCTGGAGAGATAAGGGAGGGGAGGGGGTCGTAGTGGCGGGAGGAGAGGGGTGTCGTTTCTGGAGAGATAATGGAGGGGAGGGTGGGGGTCGTTGTGACGGAGGGGAGGGGGGGGTCGTTTTCTGGAGAGATAAGGGAGGGGAGGGTGGGGGGTCGTAGTGGAGGGAGGGAGGGTGGGGGGTCGTAGTGGGGAGGGGAGGGTGGGGGGTCGTAGTGGGGGAGGGGAGGTAGGGGTTGTTGGAGGGGAGGTTGAGGGGTCGTAGTGGCGGGAGAGGAGGGTGGGGGTCGTAATGGCGGGAGGGAAAGGTCGTAGTAGTAGGGGTCGTTCTAAATGAAGGAGGATGATTGAAGTGGTTGAAGGGTCGTAGTGGCAGGGGTCGTTCCGCTAGGAGGAGAAAAGAAGGGCCATTACGAAGGGGGGAGGGAGTCAAGTAGTAGGAGAACGGAGCAAGAGAGAGAGAGAGAGAGAGAGAGAGAGAGAGAGAGAGAGAGAGAGAGAGAGAGAGAGAGAGAGAGAGAGAGAGAGAGAGAAGAGAAAAGGATAGAGAGAACAGAGACAGAAAAAAGAGCGAAACAGAGAGAGAGCGAGCCCAAGACAGGAAAAAGAGAGAGAGAGAGAGGTAGCCAGAGGGGTCTTATTTGATAATGATTAGCCCTCTTTTTCCCCTCAGTTTCTTTACAAGTTGGTTTCCAGATTAGTTTCTTAGTCTCACACTAATTAATGCGGCCGGTCTTGTAATTTCACACGTGGCATCAATAATACTTTTCCCCTCTCTCCTCTTCTACCTCCCTCTTCTTCCTCTTTCCTTCTACCCTCACTCTCCCTCCCTTTCCCTTCCTCCCTCCTCCTCTCCTAACCTTCCCTCCTCTCCTCCCCTTTCCCCCTTCCCTCCCTCCCCCCCCTATCCTCCTTTTACTCCTTCCCCCTCCCCTTCCCTTCTCTCCTCTCCCCTCTTTTTCCCCTTACATCCCCTCCCCTTCCTTCCCTCCTTCTCCTTCACTCCTCTTCCCCTAACATCCCCTCCCTCCCCCTTCCATTCCCCTTCCCCCCTCCCCCCCCCGTATGCTTAACCTTGTCACGTGACTACTAAATGTCAATTAACTTCGTCTTTTTTATGATCTTGGTCTAGATTTCTTTCCCTAACTTCTATAATTAGGGGGAAATTAGATATCCTGGTATGGGATAATCGTATTATCTCTTCGACTAGATTCTCTCTCTCTCTTTTTTTTTTAAGGATATTTAGGCCCGAACGCACACACGCACACGGACGTGAACGTACGGTAAGGAAAAAGCAAATGAATATGGTAATAATAATGATATTAACGATACGCACACGAAAAATTCTTCCAAGGCACACATACACCTACACACACACCCACACACATGCACACACACACACAGACACACACACACACGCACAAAACACACATACATATACCCATATACAAAGAAACTCACACCAACATACCCCCCCCAAAAAAAAAAAAAAAAAATCCATTCCCTATATACGTCCATATTCACCCCACAAGCTCTGAACCCCTGAACCCTTGAACCCACGAGAGTAATCCAAGTACAGGTGATTCAGGTTCAGTAATCTGATCAACGAAGA